AGAGAGAGGGGGGGGACTGGGAAACTTTTAGCTACCGAGTGTACACGTGTAAGGGTGACTTATTATCGAGACTATTTTGCCGGCGGAAGAGAACAGTTAGGCGCTGTAATAAGTTACAGTCATGTAATTAAATATTACATTACACGGAAGTAAGGGAAAGAAATATTTCGTGTTTTTCTCCCTGCATCGCCGCCTACGTCTCTCCCTTGGCAAACGAGGACGCGTAACTCTTGCCCGGATTAAATTCACGAATCCGAGCGCGGAATTACGTCTATGCTTAGAATCCTTATTTCATGCAAATGTCAGACAGTTATCGCGGAACACTTCTCAGCAATACGTTATGATTTCTCAGTGCCTCAACCGAGCCTCGACTTTCTTCGCGAAGCGTATCGCAAGATGGAAGAAACGTGCGCGCGCGCTCTCGATTTACTTCCGTATTAAACTTCAGAAATCCGAATACGCGGGATCCGTATCGCGCGTCTTGTGACTTTATGTGCGCTTTATGTAAATAACGGATATTTGTCACGTCGCGCTTCGGGGCGACAGTTTACTACGCAGGAGACAACTTATATATATATATAGCCGCTCGCACCGGATTAAATCTAAAGATTTAAAGATGAGATCCCGTCGCGATTCGGAATTTTACGTTTCTTTCTTGTAAATGTCTTCCGTCTCGAACGCGTCTTGTTTTTGCGATTTTTCCTCAGCCACGCGTTAGCTTATAAAAAGCACAACGGCGATGGCAGGATAGAGGGATGGGTTTCGTCTTTTAACGCAAAACGACGCGCGCGCCCGCTTAATACTGAATCTTATTATTCATATCACCACCGAGGATCTAGGTACGTGTTTGCAAAACGAAAAGGTAACATTCATTACCGTCAGCGTACTATAAAAACAACAAAGCTAATCCTCTCCATATCTTTTTATCTCGGATATTCCGCGGGAAAGAACTTACCCCGCCTGCCATAAACGCCGCGTTTGGATAACAAAGTCTATTTTCTGATAGCCCCCGTACATTTTATTGAAGTAAACACCTGCACTATTATGATTTAAAAATTACTGACATAATCGTTTAATAAAGGATGCATCAGAATTAATATATATATAGTTATTTTAGTAATCCAAACCATAATACTTTTAACGACGTTAGAGAGTAACATATAATAAATATAATATATATGAAATGAATTTTTATATATTCGCGGTATATAAGTTTGACATGTGACTAATGGAAGGATACGATCGCGACAAATCTATCGCCAATTTCTTGTCAAAGTTCACATTTGAGAATCAGAACGACAAGATTGTCGCGGCTTAGGACGGTCGACCATCCCTCGACCAGGGAATCGGCGAACACAACGAGGTCGTTATGGGAAGTTGAATCAAGGGTTCGCATCTGTCGGGAGAATTATGCAGAATTACACGCGGTGATTCCGTTGGGCAGGAATTATCCCCGGAAGTCGCCTCTATCGGTCACCCCGCTCTACCCTTTCCTACCGTTCTCCGATAATAGTCCATCATGGAGGGTGAATCAGATTGAGAGTGTGAGAGAGAGAGAGAGAGAGAGAGAAAGAGAGTGCGTGCGCGCGCGTAGAGAATTTATTTATAATGCCGAAAAATGCCGACCACACGTCGACGTGCCTGGATATTTATAGTCCACGTTCAGACGGACGGACGGACGGACGGACGGACGGACGGACAAGGGAACGATCCGTTTTGCGTCCTTTTGTGGTGCCGAAGAGTGATGCGGTTGACCTGGCCTCTGTACTTGCCTTCGAAAGAGCACTTTGAGGCGCTTCATATATAGAGAATATCCTCGGTATCTGTTATTGCGGCGACGAACCTGTTCCCGCTACGCGTACGTGTATGCGTATGTGTATGAGCGTGTACATGTGCG